CGCGAGAGGCGCGGTTGTGCTTTCGCGAGAGTCACGGTCGTGCCTCCTTGAAAACGGAAAAAAACACGTTTTCAGTTTTTTTTTCTTGCGCGAGAGGCACGGTTTTGCTTTCGCGAGAGGTACGGTTGTGCTTTCGCGAGAGTCACGGCCGTGCCTCCTCGGAAACGAAAACAAAACGTTTTCTGTTTTTTTTTCTTTCACGAGAGGCACGGTTTTGCTTTCGCGAGAGGCACGATTGTGATTTCGTCAGAGGCACGGGCGTGCCTCTTTCGGAAAGGAAAAAACCCCGTGCTCCCGGTTCGGTTTTTTCGTGAAAAAAAAGTTCGTCAAAACCTATCAACATGGGGATCTAGTTTTGAAGATCACGACGCAAGGAATCCAACGGCGAAAGCGGTTCGAGATTTGAACGCACGGATTAAGAGATAAAATGTTTTGAATAAACAGTTCTACGAAAAAAGGGAAAACTCCTAGGTTGTGACAAGTGACGCATGGAAGTTGGAGTGATCTCCGCAAGAACTCCTTAAATAGTGATTTCGGCTATAATGGTCTTCATCCAAAAAATAAGATCCCCGTAAAAAACAAATTAGTCATCAACCAAAACAGGCCTCTCAGGCCCTGAACTGGAAAAGAAAAGGAAAAGAAAGTTTCAGGCCCTGCACGGCCTGGTCTAAGATACGTTTTCGTGCCTGGGCTGGAGACACATCCCCTGCTCCTCTCGGCGGCCCCCCAGTTCCCTAAAATCTTCCCCAAAACCCATTGCTCCGCGATGAGACCCGCAGCAACAGCGGTAGCAGCCACCGCCGCCGCGCTCCGAGCCGCGTTCCTCGCCCCTCCCGCTGCCGCCTTCCGCCTCCTCCCTCCTCGCCGTGTCTTCCTCCTCCCCCTGCACCGCCTCTCCTCCTCCTCCTCCCCGACCGCCCCGCCTTGCGCCGCTTCCTCCGACTCCCAGCCGCCGCCGTTGCCTGCCTTCATGGACGCTCAGTTCGAGTCCTTCCGGTCGCAGCTCGATGGCTCCTCCGCCCTCCGCGACCGCATCCGCGCCGTCGTCTCCGAGGTCGAGTCAGCCTCCCGGGCCGCCTCCGCTGCGCTCCTCCTCATCCACCAGCCCGTCCCCATCTCTGGTTTGCTGCCCCCTTTTACTCCTCCCATTTCTGTACGGGTTTTGGCTCCATCGCTTAATCCTGAGCTATCTCCTCTCCTCGTGCAGATGTGCTCGGCAAGGCGAAGGCGCAGGTGGAGGTGATCAAGGGGCTGTACTCTCAGCTCGCGGAGATCCTCAAAGAGTGCCCCGGTCAGTACTACAGGTGATGATATGGCTTACCCACGCGTCTTTTCCATGTTACCAAGGTTGGGCTATGTGGAAATTGCTCATATATTGGGATTTGTTGCTTATTAGGTACCATGGGGACTGGAAGAGTGAGACACAGTCTGTGGTGTCGATGCTAGCGTTCACGCACTGGCTCGAGACTGGTGGCCTGCTCACGCACGCCGAGGCCCAGGAAAAGCTAGGATGTACGTGAAGGCTCTGCCAACTGTTGCATTAGTTGTCTTGTAGCATACAATGCCAGTGTGCTTGCTTACGAAGCTAAATATGTTGTGCTCCTGGCCTTTTGCAGTGGGTTCTGGAGAGTTTGGCCTGGACGTTGAAGACTACCTGACTGGTTCGTTATATGCATTACCATCTCTGCTTTGTGAATTGGGTGTTATCTATGAGATTTAAGTGTCATACATGTTAAATGTTTTGCTCAAGAACAGCTAAGGGGGAATGTAGTTTTGACCCTCCTGATTGAAAGATACTGATTATCCGGGAACAAAATGCATATATTATAGCATTCACATCAGAACTATTGCATCTCTTTTTTAAACAACTAAATTGCTTTAAGGTTTAGCATGCTTTTGTTTTATGTAATGTTGTGTGTAAATGACATTGCTTACTCACATGAGGACTTGTTTGTGTTGCAGGGTTGTGCTTCATGTCCAATGATTTTGTAAGCTCCCCATCAACTACTCAATATTAATTTGATTACATACACAGTATCTTTTTTTGCAAAATTAGTTTTTGGATCCTAGCCCCTATAATGAACATTCATTCCTATCTATTGCTATAAAAGAAAGATCTTTGTCAAGAACTTTTCCTTTGTTCTGTACTTTTTTTTTGTTTAGATTTGAGCTATTCGTCATATCCAAGGCAGCTCCCTACGAACACCACATTCATATGACTATGCCTCCTTTTGAATTGGCAATATGTTGGGCTTCATAACTACTTCCATTCTAAAGATTACTAGTCAATAGGCATGTTTCAGTAGCAAACATATTCATATTCATAGAGCCATTATAAATGGCAATCGTCTTCACTTACATCACAGTATGTTTCTCTTCCTCATTCCTATTTCAGTTTTCATAGCACAGATGTTAGTTCATGCTTTATGGCGTATCATTAAGATATCCTCTTCTCGTAATTATTATAACTACCATTCTACCAATAGTGTTTTCTTTTCTATAAATAATCCTAGAGAATCCAATAAATTTAGACAGGTAAATTCTAACATGCCAAGCAGAATAAAGTATTATAAAAACTGCATTAGAGTTTAGATAAGTGCACCATAGCATGTATACACATCCTTTGATTTAGGCAAGTTACAATTAGGCGTTAAAGCTTTAGTTGATGGTAAAGAGTTATTTCTCTACAACAATGTATAAGGGTCGAATCGCTACTTTAATTGATTGTACACTATTGATTGATCCTTAAGTGTATAGTATACTTGACTTCAATTTTCACATATAGCCAGCTAAAATTCTGTTTTCAAGATTTTATGTCAACCACTCTCCTCGTCGAAGCTATGGATGCAGAGCAGTTTTAACATGCTCCCTCTTACCCTCTCTTTTCACATGAGAGGCAAGAGTATATAATAGATCTGATCCGTTGATCTTATTAATTAGTGGTCTGATTAATTCTTACCTTCTTACCTCACATGCAAAAAGAGGAGGTAAGAGGGAGCATGTTAAAATTTGCCATGCAATAAGAGATATTGCAATTATACTTAAGTTTGCATTAGTTCTAGTATTGATTCATAAAAAATACTGATGGTCTATAATGAACTAAAAAAGAGTATAGGAATTATTCACCTCAACTGTTCTTTTATTATTGGTCGATCCTAAGTGTGTTAATGTGTTATATATCAATGTATGTAGTCTAAATTTTCACAATTAAATAAATATTATATTTTTAGATTGTTTGTATTATATGCACTCCGTGTACTATCTATTTTCATATGCGTATACAACATTTTTTATTCTTACAAAGTAAGCGATGCCTATATGCATTTTCTCTTCCTGCACACATAATTGATAGTGCGGCCGTGGCTAAATTTGCAGTATCACTTTTATATATAATTATATACCATTGTAGAATAACTCATAATTTCCCTCAAGCATGGTTCTACGGCCCACATTGCCTTTAGCTATGAGTTAAGAAAATCTAGGTTGCATTATGTCTACGTTAATCTCATTCCTGCTCCCAGGTGTGCCGCCTCTCTTTCTTCTCATTAGGTCCATCCCTTCTTTGTCTGCATGGTACTCTCTCTCTCTCTTTCTCTCTCTCTCCATGGGACGGGAGAAGGTTCATGCCTGCTTTTCCCCTCCCGCACCCCTTGTTTGTTTTCCCTCTCATGCTCCAGTATGGTCTTCCTTCCCGCGCTCAGCTACTCAGCCACCATATCATGACGGCAAAATGGCTTGGACTGGAGGGGCACCACAGCCATATCAATGATATGAGGACCACTTAAAAACTGTGACAGATGCATGTATTGTTAGGTTGTGGTCTTTTTTTTTGTAATTTTTAATGACCTTTAGACATGCGAACATGTGCTGGTGCAACGGAAGTACTCCAAGCCTCAGAGTATTTGATAAGTTCTCTCTCCGTCTCACACTTGATTCCTGCTCTACTCTGGATTACCTGGCCAGTTGTGCTCACGATAGGATCGAGAGCTGGACTTGCTACATTCGCAGTTGCGCTGCTACCTGGATCGCTCATTGCATGCTTATTTATTTGCTAAGCCTGGAAAACACCAGTGTGGCTAGTACTGTGTCCTCCTCACAAGGCCCGGTACACAAGGGAGCTGGATGCCTGGTCTTGTATTCCCAATCACAGTGGGCATGCAACTGGATGGATGCATGCACATATGATAGCAGATTGATGGCCGTGCATTCGATGATGACAGAAGGATTGCATTTTTTTTCCCATCACGAGGATATAATGTTTATGACTAACCAGAATATGGATTTGACAATGGTTGGATGATGTATAGGTACAATTACAAAAATAGACCGGTCATCTTTTGCTTTTTTGTGAGAATTTCTTGTTTTTTCTCTGTTTTGTGATTTGTGATTTTAGTATATAATAGACACTGCCTATAACTTTCATTAGAATATCCGAGGACTGAACAAACCATGTTAAAAAAATAATTGTTACGTTATAATTTTGACGTCTTAAGAAACCTTTTGATGTACTTGTGGAGATAGTTTGTTTTGCAAGATGGATGTGAGACATGTACCTACCCTTCTCAATTCCACACAGTATTCACATTTTTTATGTGAAACATAAATTTTTAGTCATACAATATAATTCTATAGCTATCAACAATGGCTACTGACTATCTAAAATAATACTCCCTCTGTTCACAAATATAAGATGTTCCAACTTTTTTCTGAATCGGATGTATATAGACACGTTTTAGTGTGTTTATTCACTCATTTCAGTCCGTATGTAGACCATATTGAAATATCCAGAGCATCTTATATTTGTGAACGAAGGGTGTAATATTTAAAATTCTTTGGTGTTGTCTTGTCTATTTCTAAAGGGTTTGCAGAAAACTTGCATACACTTGTTAGCAACAGTCTAATCTCGGTACCATTGACGTTGATCACAACGGATAACTGCCATGCTGAAGAGAACCCGATGCGGTGGGTTGGAGAAATCGGGCATAGGGTTGAGATGATAGAATAATTCGGAGAGAATGGATTGATTCTTCTTGCTTATCTCAAACAGAGATACATGATTTGCTAACACAGTATGAACTGCCGATAAATTAGACTCATTTATCCATCTTTGCCAATACAATTCTATTGCCTAAAAGATCCCTGATCTCCCTCAATTCGTACTCCCTGGTGCTAGTCCACAACATACAGTGCAGCAGAAATGCAATTCTATATCTACAGATTGATGCAAAATTGGTCATAATGAAGAAAGACTTGGTCCTTTCAAGTGATTTGGTCTCAAGTGTATTCTGGTTTCGAGGTATGTTTGAAATTAGAAAACAAATTGTTTTGTACCATCTCAAAGATGTAAACCTGAGAAATGATACCTGGGGCCACATGACAGTGACACATCGATATCCATTTTCCAACTTGAGTGGTCTTTGTGATGGTACAAAGCAATGCTGAAGTGTGATACTTTTTAGCTCTAGACTACAAGTTTCAACTTAAGTAATGAGGGTGGTAGAGCACATTGTGGTTTTGTTTATTTGGAAGTGTATTGTGCCAGTTGTGGGCTTCAGGCCCAGATGTTTGTGAGATTTTCAAATTCTAGTATGTAAATACATTTAGGCGCATGTAATTATTAAAGGAAAATTAGTTTTTCCAGTGACAATCATCAAGTACAGCCGGACACGGTTCCTTGTCCTTTTTTGGTCGGAGTCGCTGCTATTGCCAAAATGCACTGCTGCAGTACCACCAGATCCGCTGACCGACACTGACCCAACCACCACTTTCGCCGCTCTGCCCTTCTCCAACCGCCTCCTCCTCAGTTCACCACCGCCCCGGTCATCCTTCTAAAGCCTGTGGGCCTAGCTTCTTATTCAGCGCCGGCATGTCCCCACACTCCACACTCCTAAGGCTCTTCCTTGCCTGTGCCTGTTCCGCCGTGGTGAGCCACGTTGTCACTGTCCCTGGTTCAGTGTCTTTCTGGCTGCGCAGCTGCCAGCGATGTCCACCACCGCCTCGTCCCTGCTCAGCCGCTGTGGAGCGCCCTCTCTCACACACACACATGTTATCCTCTCTCAATGGATTTGGTCAGCAGATAGTGGTGGTGTCCCAACTCTTCTCTAGGTTTCAACTAATTTCCCTTCTACTTTTTGTATTTTCGACTGCGGGTTCTGGTTATTCTACTTTATCTTCTCTGGCGATCTATGTGTGCTGCTTCATCTCCGTTCTCCGTGGAGCTCAAGCGTGTCCGTTTGGAGCTGATGAAGTGTTCCTTCTGTATCTTGGTGTCTGCTCCATTTCTTGCCGGTGATGGTTTTCTTTATCTCCTCTTGCATGGGTGTGAGACTGGTCTTGTTCATTGATTTTGCCTCTCGGTTGGTGTTTCCTTTTTCAACCTCCCCTTTGGACGCCTGCAATGTGGTTATGGGATTGACGACTCTCCGGTATGGTCGATGGCTGCTTGGCCTCCTGGTTGGGGACCTTCTACCGTTCTTGCGGTGCAGCTTTGTTGCCTGGCGCATGCGGCTCCCCAGATTCAAGGGCGTCAGTAACTTCCTCAACCTCTGGTTTCTCTGCGGTTCCGAGAGAGGCCCTTTGTCTGGCTGCTTTTCTGTGAAGCTGGTGGCGACTGAAGCTCTGGTTTTGCCTATGGTGAACCCTGTTCCAGTCAGCAGTGAAGCTCTGGTTCCCGTGGCATTCTGGATGGTTCGTAAGGACCCGTATGTGCACGTATCCTTGCAGGGCGGCCCTTTAATCTTTGTTTCTTTTGTGTTTGTCTTAGGTTTCCAGGATGTCCTCTTCTTTGTGGCTTGTTTAGCCCCATGCATCGAGCCCTTAACATAATGCAGGAATCTTTTGCCAACAAAATAAACAGATCGTGGGTGCAGGGGAGAAATATGATCATGGGATTAGTTATTTCAGCACAGGTCGTGGATGGGGTCTGTGGCGTAGATATCTCCTGAGGGGGTGTTGATGGGCATGTGGTTCCTCGGTCGGTTCAACAACGCGAAATGGTCGACCACGAGAGAGAAATCTCGTTAAACCTGTACTTCTATTACTAGCAAGAAACCTGTGCTTTGCTATGGGATGAAGGATAACCATACTTTATGTTTACAAGCTAATTACTTCATTAAAATCTGCAAAACTCATGGTAGATTGGGGTGTTTTATGAAACAGAATTAGGTGGGTAGTGACTAGTAAGCAACCACTTCTCATTCTCAGTCGTTCATACCAAGACGGTTGGTTGGTATTACAGAAGTTGAATGGACCATCATCACCAACTTGTTTCTTTATAAAATTTGCAAGACATAAGTACTACTCCCTTATTGGATGCATTAGAATATGTAGTCTGTGGAGTATATAAATACTACTCCCTCCGTTCCTAAATATTTGTCTTTCTAGATATTTCAACAAGTGACTACATACGAAGCAAAATGAGTGAATCTACACTTTAAGATATGTCTACATACATCCGTATGTGATAGTCATTTGAAATGTCTAGAAAGACAAATATTTAGGAACGGAGGGAGTAGAAGGTTGAAGAGCCGAAGTCAATGCATTAGAATATGTAGATTGTTTTCAACATGTGAGTGTTCAGGAATAGGATGCACCTATACTATATATACCCCCTTATTGGATGTAAAAAGCTAAAGAACCAAAGCCTATAAATTAGAACATGGAGATTACTTCAAATTTTTGGTTGGTGTTCAGGTCGGACCCATGTTGTATCTTATGAACTTACGAGTGCATGCGAAAACGACTACATATAAGTACAAACAATTTACACTTGAGCTGGACTGTACTATAATTCTTCATAATGTACAAGTGTCGAGCATATAAACCTGAGACGGACTGTGAACTATTTTTCTTCATGAATGATTTACGTACAAGTGTCAAGCATATAAACCTGAGATGGTCTTTAGTGTGTAGCACACTTTGTAAATGAATGGATTAGACGGCGCTGGGCATATCTGCAAAATGCATACTTTACATAATACCATCTGCATTCTGAACTCTTGAATTTACTATTTATATGGTTATTTCCTTGGATGTATGTTAAGCATAGTTAAAAAAGGCGTGCCTAAGCGAGTGCTTAAGCACGCCTAGGCTCTAGGCGTTGGCAAAACGCATTGCGCATAACTATGCTTAATCTGTGCATAACTGCGCATAAGCATGCGCTTTGGTCAGTAAAGCGCAAGGCGGTGGCAAAACGCACAATTAACACCTAGCGCTTTTTTGAACTATGATGTTAAGCAAGAATTCTAATGCCGCAGAGCTAATGAGTGGTACAGTGACTGCTTGCTGACCTTTTTTACAGCCTAGACAGATGCTTAGTGAGTACAATTGCAATTCTCTACAGCCAGTGAGTGGTACTAATTGCTGCTTGTGGAATCTTGTGCTCCCTCCAATCCATATTAATTGTTGCTGACTTAGTACAACTCCGATCCATATTAACTGTCGCCGACTTAACGGAGGGAGTGCATCCTTTATATGAAATGAAACGGAAGTGCTCAACAACCAATATTGATATGAGTGACTGCTCGCTGAATTTTCTACAGCCTAGATGTGTACTGAATAGAAAACTGTAATGCTCTATAACTATGACTTGTATTAATGGCTGCTTGCTGAATTGTCTACAGCCTAGATATGTAGTGAATCGGGTCACGGCGGGCGACTACGACTGTCCACGGAAGGTGCTAAGCTTTTTGACTGATCTGCACGCTTCATTTAGGATGCTGAATCTGCGCAATGACTTCTTGCGTAAGAAATTTGATGGTGAGTTCCTCAGCTTAGGTTCACTGGACATGTTTATTTTTAACACAACTTGGCTAGCTTTTGGCAGTATTATTTCAGCTTACCGTAATATGTTGTCATGCCTTTTTGTTGTTGTTGTTGTTGTTGTTGTTGTAATCTGTGTTGATTCAGCTGTGTTTCCTCCCTTGTTTTTGGTTTTGTGTTTGCAGGGATGAAGTATGATTTGAGAAGGGTGGAGGAAGTATTTTATGATGTGAAGATACGCGGACTTGTCCCTGGGGAGTCAAAGCAAGAGGTTGCTCAGTCATAGACGGTGAGCGGTGCCGTACCATTTACTTGGCAATCGACAGCTGTCATGTGTTGTCGTCGTTACCAATGATGTTTATGTTGGACGGATGGTTCCTAGAAAAAGCTCATGCTGTGAGGATCTCTCTTTTTGACTGTAGCATCGTTTAAGTTCGGCACTTTTTCGGACCCGCCTAGAGGTTGGAAAATGACATGAGAATTATTCTGTTGTCATGTCATGTGACCTATATCTGCGTCCTGCATTAGGTTTTGTAACTGAGTCTGAGTAGATGCGGGTGAAAATGGCCGGTCCACAATGCACTGGATTGAAGTTTCCTATCCCTCCGTCCCATGTTAATTGCCGCTAGATATGGCAATTAATATAGGACGGAGCTATTAGATTTGCGTAGATGCTTTACGCGGATGCAGCTAGTTGATCCCAACCTAGGTAAAATGAGTCCATGTTTCAACTGTTGTTGAATGTTCCATGGACCACATCACACGGTTGACTCGGTCGTTCTTATAGAATTAGATTTCGTGTCACATCAATGAAAACACGAAAGCACCTGAGAAGCCGTACTGGTGTGACGTCACACGTACAACCCAACATTATCAATTTAACTAATTCTTGCGTGCTTAGTGTTAGTCAGTCATATGCAGTACTGATGTGGTTGCAGCTACTTGGGTTCAAGTGAGTTCACATCTCCATACGCGCGCGCGCATGAGGAATGGGTTCTCCGTCGTGGTCGTGGTCGTCGTCGAGAAACAGAATCAGGGCAGACGTAGTGCCCCTAGCCAGCCGCTGTGCATCTACACATCCTTGGGACACGAGGATGCTTCGCGGAAGCTGCTTGGTCGCACCATTCATATAAATAAATAGAGGCACCCGTCGGGCCCTCCACTGACCCACTCCATCCAACCCGTGTAGGTGGCTTCTCTCGTCTGCTGCAGTGCGCTACCTCGTTCGTACGGTCCTGCAGTTTCGGAACAAGGCCACCGGCGGAGCTACGTGCAGGTAAAAGCGTGTCGTGGCCCGCCCTGGGCAAAAGCAAAAAACTAAATTACTATGCCTTGTGACTTGTGAGGCGTCGCTACGTCAGTAGCCTGAATGTGTATGAGACTGACTTTTCTGCTTGTTAGCCTCCGTGACGCAGGAAGGACTTGCATCGAAGTACTAGTATGGTTTAAATTTTGATTTTTTGTGTGCTGTTCATTAGTTTGGTCCGCCCAACTATTTCCTCGTAGCTCCGCCACTGAACAAGGCTGGATCGATCAACGGCCATCCAAGAGAGCACCGGCGCGTACATGCTAATTACCTTACCTGTACCAATCTTTTTCATAAATATACAAAGGTTGTGTACCATTCATTGATAGAAGAAAATAAGATACAAAGTTTCCGAGCTAGGACCCACGAAGGTGCTAGGGGTTCCCTCAAGTGATCGATCACTTTTCGTCGACCCACGAAGGTGCTAGTGGTTCCCTCAAGTGATCGATCACTTTTCGTCGACCCACGAAGGTGCTAGGGGGTCGACGAGAAGTGACCGATCACTTGAGCGAACGATAGAGGAAGACGAATTTCCCTTCCCGGAAAGCAACACCCATGGAAAGCAACACCAACTGCAAAGCGATGAGGAGCTAAACACAAAACCTTTTTTTGCAGGGAAATACATGAAACCTTGCAAACCAAAAAGGATGGAGGAAGGAAGGACAACACAACACAGTTCAATCGAGAACCATAAGCTGAGCCTAAATGAATTCCATAACTGCAAACTATACTAAGTCTTAGATTAGTCATAAACATAATACCACGAGTGCAATAATTAATTCTGGACATAGTTCCATTTCATAAATAAAAAATCACAATCGTCAAGGTCCTGTTTAGAATGTGAACTCAGATCACCCTAGCTAGCTACGAAGAAAATGACGGGAGATACAAGGACGGCGGTGACGGGAATAAAGAGCAAGACGATGTGTGTTGGTGACAGCGATGTGACCATGTTCCCGTGCCCACAAATCTATGGAAAGATAGATGATTCACTAAGATTTATTCCACGACCAAATCCTTACTACTACATCTTTATGTCAGCGCATATATATAACCTACCACTTGTAAGTTGTAAAGCAAATAATAATAATTGTGAAACTGGATTGAAAAATTCGTGACGCTGTTACGTGCGTGCTTTATGTTTCTGATTTGATACCAAACTTCCAACAAGCTAAGTGGAATCTAGTCATAGTCAATCACTCAAGTCATTATGTGCCATCATTGATGTGATAATCATCCATCTATTTCTAAGTAGGATTAGTTACATCCAGCAGAACTAGATCATGATTTCACACTTCTAACCATTAGTAGTTAACTTGTTAACACATTTTTAACGGGGTGTTTATCTTCTAAAAAGAATGTTCATCATGATATATATATTTTCATTTGGCGTAAGGTTTGTAGTGTTTGTACTGTGAGTCCAAAAGAAATATGATAATATGCACAACTTCACCCCATATGTTGATCGTTGCTAAAGCTTATATGTTTGCAAGAACCCTCTCCTTTAGCTTCCATAAGAAAAGAAAAGGCAGGGAGAAGGAAAAAGAGACTTTGTGGGTCCTTTGGCTGGTTGAGAACGACATCTGATTTCGATGAAGAATGTACCCCCACGCGAGCAGCCAAGAGCAGGGATCTTCAACTTAATTAAATACTACTATCTTCGTCTTAATGGGCCTTTCATATTTTTACTTAGATTTTGACCACTTATTTAACTAATAAAATACATAATATATGCTACAAAAAATACGATGTTGAACCTGTATTCGAAAGAGCTTTCCGACAACATAATTTTTGTGGCACATAATTTATATTTTATCAGTTAAATTTATATGTCAAACTTTAGCCTAAAATAAGAGAACCTCCTAAACCCGGATGGAGGGAGTAGCATGAAGTCCGTGTAACGCAACATGAGCATACATATTTCATTAGATCAATATCAATATTGTCCGACATATAACTTACATCCACCTTTAATAGTAGGGGAAACGGATGGGAATGTGGGAGAGGAAAAAACCAAGAAGAAGGAGAATCAACTATACCAACTCCGCTTTAAAACCCTTTAATAATAGAGATCTATGTTGGTTTTTATTTTATACGAAAATCGATTGGGTTAAAAAAATTCAATACAAACTAAAAGGGATGGGACCGTGGGGACGAAAAGATCAGGAAGAAACGGAGACGACTATACCAACTCCTCTTTTAATAATAGAGATGCGAGTAAAGAACACGACACAGGAGCTAGCTAGGTACTCCACCACTCAAGTGCTCCCGTTCTTCTTCCTCCTGTCCACGCCCGGCGCCCCTGCCTCGACGACACCGGCCGTGCTGGACGGTTCTCCATCGCATCCCTCGTTTCCTGTTGCGAACTACAGCACGCGCGCCACCGCTCTCCACTGGCCGGGTAACCCCAGGGCGCGCTTGGTTCATCGTTTAATACGGAGTGGAACATATTTCTGGCAAGAGCGCTTGGCAAGCGAGCGTGGGGAGCGAGTCTTGCTCCAGCGTTGAGACTGGCCTCCGCTCCACGCACGGTCTCTGCCACCCTGCGCGCCTCCGCATGGCTGCCATCGCCGCCTCTCCGGCGGCTTCGACGCCGTGTCCGGCCGGCTTGGACACGAAGTGCTTATCCCTGTTGAAAGGCGTGGTGTGGTGTCCCAGACGCCGCGGGAGCTCCTCCCGTTGGAGACGCCTGCGGTGTGCGACTCTCTCCTGCCTTGCCTTGGGTGGCGCGGGCAGCCAGCGTGCCCGTACGTCGCGGCGTCCTTCTTGGCAGTCGTGTGCAGTCGGGGCGAGGCGGGTGGCACTGCTGGTGGTAGAGTAGTGGACGGGCAGGAGGTGCTCGCGAGGGAGCGCTGGGCGTGGTGTTGGCACTCCGCAGTTCACGGCTTGGTCACACTCCGCACTCGAACGGGGAAAAGATACGGGGGGTGTATTTTACTGCTGTCTGTCCAGTAATATACGTACAACGGTAACTGTCTAGTACGGGTGGAAAATCTAACCGATGTCCCAAGCGCGGCCTTGGTTTGAGAACTCTGCATGCATGTGCGTAGGCCGCAGCATACGAGCGCTAGCTAGCGGATGCATATACGTGTGTATGGTTTCTGCAGATCTCTGCATGATCTAGTCATCATCGATATAGTGCAACACGCCCTCTCATGGCCGATTAGTTCATTCATGAGCTACCTCTAGCACCAAGTTTTAGCTAGTCTGCTTGTTATTTGCTAATGGTTTTAGTCGTGAGTTCTGACTTTGTGCTCATGTCATGTGCTGCTGCAGATCCATACACACAATGGAGCCAGCGGACGAAGTGGAGATTTGGGAGGCCATCTTAGCGGATCCGCTTGATTGGCCTCCATCTTCTGTTACTATTCCTCGTCCAAGCCAGGTATATATATACTACATTTACTCTGCCCTCACGTTTCATTCTTGATCAGCTAGCTCCCTTCCCACAAATTTATGCTGGACAAACCAAGAGTAGTGAACATTACACTAAGACATCAACTAAGCCCATCATCTGCCGAGGCCACAAACAAATGGGGAGACAAACACACAGCGTTTCGCATTTGAAATCTATCTGGCACCACACTCGTGCAAAGCATCCAACCATCAGCGTCAGCACAACCAAAAATCAAGATATTTTTATTCTTATTCATGATAGGTGGAAGAATACTTCAGTTATGTGTATGGCGATGATGACATGGAAATCAACAAATTTGCACAAGAGCCCGAAGATGGGCAGTGCCACCAGCAATATTTGGGAGGTACCATGTCGATTGTTCCATCTTATCTATACACATGTGAACATATGCTTTTTTGTATATTCTCAAGCTAATGCGTGAATATTTGGTGTTTAGAATTCATATTAAACAAAAGTGGGAGGCATGGCCCACAAGTTCCTCGCAAGAGGAGGATATCTGCTTCGGGAAGTGGAGGCAAGAAATTGCACGGTCGAAAAAACAATGAACACTGGACACGTGAAG